AGAGGATGGTAAAGTAAGGATTATAAGTTTTTTTTTTGAGGGCGTAAAGTCTTATTAAATCTTAATTGGATTGGAGAATAAATATCGTAGAAACAATTCCATTGAAATAATTATTTTCATGGTCCAAAGTTTTTTATCTTGGTTTTTCATTATGTGAGAGATTGAAGAACATTTTGGTGAGCTTTCTTTCGATATTTGATACTCAAAATAATTCATATACAACACATGTGTGTATCAATTAGTATTATTAAAAATAAAAAACTCAAAATACCAGAAATTAGGATTTGTGGAATAGAGGCTTGTGAAGGATTGTAGATACATCTCTTTATAGTATAGAGATATCTTATGTATGTAGGTTAATTAATAAAATTTCACATACTGAATATATTTAGCCCACACACCCCCTCGAATGTACCTAGTTGTAATATTTCATAGATATATATTCACNATTTCACATACTGAATATATTTAGCCCACACACCCCCTCGAATGTACCTAGTTGTAATATTTCATAGATATATATTCACACATACACACTTTTGAGGGGACCCTATATCAAAATTTCAACGGTAACTTTTCTCTCCTAGCCCAAGATGTTTCTTCTTTAGTGTAGAATGTTTGATAGAGATTGAAAAGGGATTGGATGAACTTAAATTTAAGAATTGAATTTTATTTTTTGTTTTAGTATTATTTTATTAGTTAGGAAATATTTGTTTGACTTGGAGTAGTAGTTAAAATTTGACTAAGAAATTACTAAAGAGTTTTAGTAGGATAGAGATTTGAGAATTTGGTTATGAAATTCTTTTAATATTTTAGTAGTAGAGCAATTTTTATTTTAGTAGGAAACTTAACCTATAAATAATGGTGTAATCACAATTATTTTTATTAGAGAGAATGATATATAAAAAGTGTTTCTCCATGGAGAATTTTGTGTGTTTCTTGACCGATTCCTTGTGAGTATGAGGTAAATCTCTTTTACCTCTATTCTTTTTCCTTCTCTTTCTATTCTTTGAATTTTNGCGAGTATGAGGTAAATCCCTTTTACCTCTATTCTTTTTCCTTCTCTTTCTATTCTTTGATTTTTAGTTCTTCCTGTCCTGTATCAATTTGATATCAAAGTTAAACCTCGAGCTACTACTGCTGTCCATCAATTTTGTCTCATTACTGTCAAAAAAAACTTGAAATTTCATCTAGTTTCGTTCTCTGTCTCATCCATTGGCCAGATTTATC